ACAATTGCTATTAAGAGGCATGGCAAAGAGTTAGGAGAAGAACGTGGCACCCTTCACAGCAAAAGTTTGAATGAATGACCACACAGTCATTTGCAAGCCGGCAGCTGAGGAAAGCTTTTCGGGCAAAATGCAATTCCATCTGTAGAGCTGTTGATGTAGCTTGCTGAGAGCAGAGGTGTGCTTTTAGCATATGTGCCACATATGAGTAAAAGTGTTTGTAGCCCTTTCTCCCTTGCAGGACTGCTGCAGAGCTAGGCCACCAGACTAAAGGGTACGAGCAGTTTTGCTTTCTAGGGTGCATGGTGGGGGCAAGCATGTGCAACAAACTCGAATCAAGCCAGGAGTCCAAGTTCAATGGTAATGACAAACCACAGTTAGTGCAAGCTGAGAGTGACGAGCCAAACCATGTCTTGAGGTCATGGTTTGTTGGCCCCAACCCAACCATAGTTAACTGGCAGGTTCAGATGTCCAAACAAGCCAGAGTTAACCTAAACAAACCATGATTTCATGTTACATCCAGATATTGTCACAGTGTCCCTCAAAACCCTAATTCATGGGATATTCCCCACATGCCCAGGGAAGGAGGGTGAAGAGTAGATGAGTCTATAACAAATGCATGATGGTATTCTGGTCTATGTAATATTACATCATTATGGGCTGTTTGCTCATGCCGAGGTGTCTGTGTGTGTGTATGTGTGGCAGACGCTGCCCAGCTGAGTTTTATGCTGATCTCCGTACCTGTGCCCCTGTGGGGACCAATTCTTCCAACCTTTCTGAACTAATTTACTGTCGCTGTTATTAAAGCATTTGTAAGTTAACTTCCTGATGTGTAGTCTGAAGGAAGCCTGTGATTAAAATGCAGTGAATACTATTTTGAAATAAGTAATCAAGTTTAAAAGACAGACAAATCAATTGATAAAATTTTCTCAATAAAATAAAAAATAATTATGTTTGTTGATTGCTAAAGAACCATAAAGATGAAGAAGCCACCCTATTAAAAACCACACCTATCCAAAAGATAATAATAAACAGATAACAAACAAATATTTAACATTAAAAAAAAATTGCCCGGTAGCACCTTAGAGACCAACTAAGTTTGTTTTGGGTATAAGCTTTCATGTGCATGCACACTTCTTCAGAAACAAATATTTAAACATCATATGTCGTGATAATAGCGATGCGGGTGGCGCTGTGATGTAAACCACTGAGCCTTGGGCTTGCCAATCAGAAGGTGGCGGATCAAATCCCCGCAATGGGGTTAGCTCCCATTGTTCGGTCCCAGCTCCAGCCAACCTAGCAGTTCGAAAGCATGTCAAAGTGCAAGTAGATAAACAGGTACCGCTCCGGCGGGAAGGTAAACAGCGTTTCCGTGCGCTGCTCTGGTTTTGGTGTTCCGTTGCACCAGAAGCGGCTTAGTCATGCTGGCCACATGACCCGTAAAAACTGTCTGTGTACAAACACTGGTACCGTCAGCCTGTAAAGTGAGATGAGCGCCGCAACCCCAGAGTCATTTGCGACTGGACTTAACCGTCAGGGGTCCCTTTACCTTTACCTTTATGTTGTGATAAGCTTCCTTAAGTAGGATGCTTCTCTTCCTCCTCAATGCCATCAGTGAAATAGGCTCTGAAGCAGGAAATCTCAGAGTAGGTGCCACAATGTAAACAACAAAAACCTTTCCTAGCAGATAGTGCATTTCATACCTTCGACCTCATGTAAATCAGATGCATGGAGGCAGAAGGTTGATTGCCCAGTGGTCCACATGGCCTCTGCATTTTCAGCCAAAGGTCTTAAAAGAAGCTTTCGTCTGTGTGCTGCTGTTCTTTGGCCTTGGCTAGTTAACTAAAGATGGGTATGAAAATGCACTTTTAGTATGTGTGCCTCTTTCCTCACCCCGCTTTCTTTTTGGGGCGAAGTAATTTCATCTCTGATTCATGCACTTAAAGGTTTTCATTTTAAATCCAAAACTGTTTTGAAAGATATCTTGCTTTAATAAACCTTATGTTCTTCCCAGCTGAGAGCTTGAAGTGGTTCTCGTGTTATATAAGGCTGGTTGAAGATAAATTTTTATAAACTGCTTTACTGAAATCTGGACGTTCTAAATCTTTTTCCATGCTGGCTAGTGGGAGAGATCTCTCTATATTAATTTGGACTTCATAGCTGTCACATGATACTGATACATTCCAAAAGCTAAGATACAAGATTACTTCTTAACCATAGAACAAACCAGCAGGAATTTTAATCAAGACAATATCCAATAATGAATAAAGACTGAATGTGTTTGGAAGTCATCCAGAATACACATTTGGGAATTTTAATCTTGATCGCCTTTGAGTTTTTCAAAAAAGAAAAAAAATCAGCCTTTTCAGATCATGCCATTCTGTCTGCCAGCAAGAAAGAGCCATCTAAGGTATTAAAGTGTTTCATCTGTACAGACACTGAATATTGCAAATCTGTCTTAGTAATTGATACCAGATAAGTTAAAAATGAATCAGAGCAAAGAACTGAGGTGGGGGAACTGGTTTGAGTAAATCTATATATGTGACAATCTTGAAACAGTTTTATATATTAATTTATAAGATTTCTCTCCCGCTCTTCACTATAACGTTCTGGGGTGAGTTACAACAATATAGTCATACCAATGCAAGTGCAATTGTTTATAAGATTATATATATATATAAAAAACCCAGCAAAACATTTCCAAACAAAAGCACTATACATTACACAAAAGAAACAAATCCAATAAAAATGTTTTTATTGTCAAAGTCCAGAGAAAACAGGTGTGACTTCAGCATACAGTACATGCTGACTAAGAATAGTACAAGATGCACATTTCAGACCCTTCAAGTGTCCCTATTTTCCAGGGACAGTCCTGGATTTACAGAAGCCATCCCAGTTTCTGCCTTGATCCTGGAATATTCCATTTTTCCTTAGGAGGTCCCTATTTTCATTGGAGAAATATTGGAGGGTATGTAATAGGTGGTCCCTATTTTCACTAGAGAAATGTTGGAGGGTATGACATCTGTGGGGAAGGAGTTCCATCATTCCGGGGCCTGCCACACAGAAAGCCCTCTTCCAGGCTGCCATTCCCCACAACAACCCATAGAATCTCCTTTGCTGAGCTTAACACCCAAGATGACCTGTAGGGACTGGGATAGGCTTTGGGGTAGTTGGGGCCTAGGTCATTTCAATACTGATAATTTGCATTCCAAATAATTTTATCTCTGGTGTGATAACAATAAAGGATTTTTTCTTGATAACTTATCATCAATAAACTTTTTGGTGATAGGCGCTATGAGGGAGTAGCACCAGTTCATCAGAAACAAATCATTTGAGGTGAAATCTTGAAATCCATATCCCTGTTTGATCGCTGAGATCACCCAGGGAAGCCCTGTTAGTTGTTCTCCATGTTGCAGAGGCCCAACTAACTTCAACTAGAAGTTGGGCATTTAGTGTCACCAGTCCTGTGCTCTTTCATCCAGCACTTTCCAAACACAGTGTGATGGCATCAGGACACATAATCAGCTTTCTTATACATTAACGAGGGGAAGAAATCAAGACCAGGCTGCAAAACTCTTTCCCCCGCTCCTGGTAGCATGAGGTTAGACAATACATCTAAGCATTTTGGATTGGAGATGGGCTGAAAGTCTCCATAACTCCACTTAAGTAGAATGCCCGTTTAGTCAGACCTCAGATTTTCTGGATATTTTAGAATTTGCTTTGGTTACTTTCAATCCAGAGAAGATGTTGCGCTGGATATGCCAGAAAGAAGAAGAAAGTGCTTCCTGTCCCATCTCTTGCACAGCAAGCAATTCAATATGATGGCAGTTAAACCCCATCAAGAAAATGGAAGAACTGAAAGCACTCACAGTCTGAGCGAGCAAATCCACGTCAGTGAGTTGCCTCCAAGGGAGATCAACATTTTCACTCAACAATATTGGAGTTTTAAGTTCTTTGAGTTTGAAGGGGACTGAAACATTCCAGGGGAGCATTTACCAGACTCCAAGTGTATGACTAGCCAACATCTGTTTAATAGTTTCATTACTCTCTCTAAAACTGTCAGTGGAAAGATAGTAACTGTTTGAGAGGAGACTTTATTTCCTCATAAGGAAATCGTAATGATTATGACGACCCTGGAGTATTGTTTGTTTGTGTTATTTTATTTTTTAATTTTTTTGCCTTTTTAAAAAAGAAACATACATGTTTTCTGCTTTCTGAAGAAAGAAGCGATTTCAGATGTTTTTACCCTTTCTTTGAACATTCCTTCCAAACTGTTTGGAAGGAATCTCTTTGGATTAATGTGCAGGAGTGAGGCTCCTTTGTTAATCTGTATGAAAATTAAAGATGGACACATCTGCTTATTTCTAGTCCATGCTAGTTTTGCATACACTTAATCATAGGTCCATTCCATGCTGTTTGTTGACAATTTTTAAAAAATGCATGAAAAAATAGACTTTAAATGTATGCATTTTATACATATCCTTACAATAAATTGCATTTACCCCTAAAATGCACATTTTTATATACTTTTTTCATAAAATATGCCTTATGGGCACATTATTTGACCCAAAACTGTATTGCAAATTCTGAGAAGCATGTAATCCAACTGAATGTTGTGTTCCAGTTCAAGCAAATTTCTACTGTGTCCATAAGCAAATGCAAAAAGGAGTATTGGTTGCTTCTTGAAATATGCATGCAGTCAGGAAGACCTGCCTACAGTTGCATACTGCCCAACATCATATGCCTAACAGTGAATACAGGGGCATAGGAAGCTGTCATATCAAATCAGACCATTGGCCCATCTGGTTCAATATTACCTGCAGAAGGTGTAGGGAAGCTTTGGCCCTCCAGATGTTACAGAACCATAACTCCCATCAACCCCAGCAAGCAGGGCCAATGACCAGGGATGATGGGAGCTGTAGTTCAGCAACACAGGTTCCCCATACTTGATCTCCTCTGACTGGCAGCAGGGGTATCAAACACAGGTCTCACCCAGACCTACCTGGAGATGCTGGGGTTTGAAACTGGGACCTTCTGCATGAAAAGCAGATGTTCTGCCACTGAGCTATGGCCCTACAGAAGCGATGGATAGGCATGGCATGGACCTACACTGTACGCATTCAGCCTGCCTCCTCAGCTAGGAAATAAGAGGGATAGAAATGGAAGCTGAAGAGATATGCAACGTATAAGATATTTGAGGAAAATAGTAAATGAGATGCTGGTATACTAGAATACATTTGATGTTTTGACATGCATTCCGATTCCGTGGTGCTCATTCAAGTGCCCAAGACAGGTTCAAGAGGACTTTGCCCCCACTTTCCTCACACCTCTTTGAGCAGATGCAACTATCCATGGGGCCCAACGCTCGTTGTATGCAACAGTTTAAAAGCCTTATGCAGGAAGCTATAAAACAACTTAAGCCCAGGAAGGAATGCACTGCGCATTAAGAAGAATAGGAGAAGAGGCTAATAGAGTTATATAAGTTTCAAGGATAGATATAATCAAGTGCGTACAATATAAAGCAGAAGGTTCATAATGATGAGGCGGGGGCTGGTGGAAGGGGAGAAGCTATTCTGAAGTAGCTGCCTGAACTTTGGCTGAACCTGGCTGTTTGGCAGCCTTCAGTAAGGACAGCCTAAGATGAGGCATTAGGGTTTGAATCGGAGAAGCTGACATCAAGCAGACAGCAAGACATGATATCTTATTTTCCTGAGCTGTGCTGACACAAATTGAACTCCGCTTATTATTTTCTTATGCCAGTAAAAGCTGCACTTGGAATTTAAGCATTTTGCTTGCAGATGTTGGGAAGAGGGCTGCTTTGTCTTCATTTAAATAATTTGCAGATTGGTTGGACGCATTCGGAGATAAAGACTCATTTTTCATTTGAAATCCAGTCCCATGAAGAGAGTGGTGGTGCTGTCTTCTCCCCCGCCCTACCTTTTTCAATTTTAAGGAGCCAGAATTCTGTTGCAAAGGCAGAAAGTTTGACTGTAAGGATCATTTGCCTGTAAGATAATCACATTACATGCCAATAATTTGAAGACTTTTCAGCAGCAAGGGGTTTGTTTGTTTGTTCATTTCTTGTTGTTTAGCTTCTAACTCTCTGAGAACATTTGGAGCAGGCCTGAGGAACCTCCCACCCAGGGATTCGCTGCAGCCCTCGAGTCCTCTCTGACCGGTTTTCAATACTTTGAAAGACTTGGATCTTTCAGATTTCAGTGGTGCGAAGCCAAAATTCAGCACGCACACAACTGACCTCTCAGCCTCCATTCTGTTCAATTCACTGTCAGTGGTTCCCAATTAGCGAAGTACTGCAGACGCCCTGTTTTTCAAAAGCCAAGCTATGGAACCCCTGCCCTTGAAAATGTTGATATTCTATGATACCTTTTGTTATGTGAATGGTGCCACTGCCACAGACCCCCTGGGTGGGTTACACGGACTCCCTGGGCTCCATGGACCACCAGTTGGGAACCCCCCCCCCACAATGTCATAGTTGTGACACCGTGCAGCTCCCCCTAGACTCGGCATTAGTGTTGTGGGACTGATCGCACTGCGCTAAATCTGCCTCTGCTCAAGACTCTCCTCAGACAAGGCCCGATTCTGCAGGCCACACCTCCTTCTCCCCCAGGCCATCCCCATCTCTTATCAGCCTTGCTTTGCATCCTCCTTGAATGCTTTTGCCCAGGTGGAATGTGTCATTGAATGGTGATTGTTCTTGTCTGGGTGGGAGATGTGTACAGTATGTGTGTGCAGGTAGGGGTTCTTTGACAATCAAACGGGTATATAAATTTTGTGACATAAAATAGAAATGGTCAGGTACCCACTTGATATTGCAGGCACTGAGTGATATCGATGGATGTATGGAAACCCTTGGAGTCACTTGCTTTTTCGAAGGAGGAATATATGCACATTTTCATATATGTGCAAAGGAAAACAGCAAGATAATGCACTCTTGTCATTCTTCATGTGTGTAATATACAACTATGGAACACTTTCTCCCGATTCAAAATATAAACAAAAAATATTTTTGCTCAAGATTCTTTTTAACTGGGGAGAGGGGAGCAGACCTGACAGGCAGTATGACTGGCTGTGATTTATTGTTTTGAAATGTTTTTATTGCTGTTATGATGACTGTGAGTATATCACTTACGTTTATAGTTTATATTTTTTATGATAAATATATAAATAATGTTGCATGCCTCTGTGGCAAAGTATTGCATTTTGAATGGGAACTAAGACCATTATTATGATCATCATCATCATCATCAACGTTACTGTTATTCAAAAATAAATACATATTGTCTATTATTGTTTCTGCTTTCAGTGTGATGAATGCTGCCCAATACTTCCTTATTACCTTCACCCTGACAACAACCCTGTGAGGCTGGCTATACTGAAGGACTGATGCAGTCAAGGTCATCCAGAGAAATTCATGGCTTCATGGGGACCTGAAGCCAATTCTTTGTCTATCATAGCGTATACAGCAGGAGAGCTAAAATAATTTTTGTGGTAGTGTGCGCACCTGGCAATTGTACTCAAGGAATACGCTGAACATGCAAGCTATTAATGTAAAGTGATTCTCTCAAATTGCCGTTAACTATTCATGGAAAACCTGACAATATGTCTCAAATAATAACCTGAATTTTGCCAACACCAATATACTAAGCATGATTTTGACAGATTGTGTAGGAAAGTTGGGAGAAAATTGGTGCATCTGCTTCTGCTGCTAGGGATTAATGGGAACAATTAAGAAGGATAAAGACATTGCAAAGGGAGTTAAATGACTTATTTGCATCACTCTTCACCGCATGCCAGGGAGACAATTACTCTTATCTGGTAATAAAGATGACAGTGCTGTCAGACACTCAGGTGTCAAAAGGGTTTCTCTTTAATGAATGCAGGAGGTAAAGAGCAACAAGTTACCAAAACTGCAGACTGTGTGGAAAGAAAGAAAGAAAGAAAGAAAGTTTCAATAAGGCAGAAGTTTTCAAATTGTGGTCTGTATGGGCCATTGGTAGTCTGCATGCTTCATTCAGGCTGTATAATATCAAGAATATATGCATTTGCTTTGCATCTGAAACTTTTCCTAGACAGGCTATCTAAGCCCTGTTTTGGGGACCTTGGTTCTTATAACAAAGCAGTCATGCAGTTTACTAATTTTCTCCTAAAATGTACCTGTTTAAAATGCCTTTCTCAGGAACCTGATCTACGGCTCATGATTTTTATTCATTGGGGGGGGGGTGTTTCCTCCTCTCAAAAAAGGGTCACATGTTGCCAGCTGGCCTATGTGGATGGCCCACCAAGATGGCCAGAAATTTTCAAGGGGTCTGTGGAAGAAGTATGAGAACTGTTGCCAAAGAGCTTTTGAAAGGCAAAATCTTCAAAATGGAAGCTTTCCTTTCCATTCAATTTTAACTTTGTCATCTGTCAATTTTTACTCACTGCCAAGTAATTAAACTCAGTATTTTAACTCAATTGATTCATGAGGTGCATGACGGATGTGGGGGAACCAGCACAGCTTCAGGAACACATGATCTTTGGGTTATTTAAGTTGCACAACATCTCCTTCATAAAGATATATTAAAGAAACGAACAATTTGCAGTATTTCTTTATATTTCTTTATATTATTGCCATCATCTGGGCCTTAAAGTGACATAAAATAAAACATATACAAGAAAAGAAATTTAAAGCATAAATTAAACATTAGAGGATTAAAACATCACAGCTGCATTTATGGTGACTAACCCCTAGGTTGCAGAGTAGGTTTTTTGACTGCGGGGGCATTTGAGGCCCAGGCCTTCACAGTCTATTTCTAACATCTAGACCTGACAGCTTGCTGCCTATTCTGTCTCTCACCACTGCAGATGAGAATTCAGAGTTGTTTATATTATAATAATGCAATGAAGTATTGTAAGATTTTACAAAAATTCCTTTGTAACTCCTCCACCTTTTGTAAAAGGGGTGAAATTAGAGGGAAAGGAAATAATACACTTAGGAGAACTAACTGTGGTCAGGGCTGGCAAATATGCCATTTTGGTTCCTCTCAGTTCTGGATTTTTCCAGTCTTAAGATTTCAATTTCAATTTCTTAAAAGTCTTTACGTACATTTCTCAGCATTTTAATGCAGACTTTGCCTAATATTCACATTTTTGCAAAGCAATTTTGCCTAATCATAATGCATTTTTATGTGTTATTTTCAATAATATATGCATTTATATGCACACTTTAGTAGATACATTTGTATACAAATTATATAGCTGGAGAACTGGATTGCAAAAGCTGGACAAGTACAAAGTTTGACCAAATGGTTGTGATTTGGTTCACATCTTGTTTCAGAAACCGTATAATAGAGAGGCTCACCTTTAAATGCAAATAGAATCAAATTTCTCTGTGAAAGTGTGCGTGAAAAAAGCAATCCACAATGAAATAAGAAATGGACATCTCGCAAAAGCAACTTCTACACCAAAAAGTCGTGATCACAAATCAACACAAAGGCCCAGTTCTTTTTCTCTTCCATAGTCTCCAGAGACAGACAGATGCCAACCTCAATACCACCCACCCTGCCGTCTAATCGAGGGACAAACTTAGCATCTCTGCCACATTCTGAAGAAGCCTGTCTATAGTGTACAGAAGTGATCACAAGGTCAAGAACAGAGAACAAAAGCATCACTTATACGCGGAGCCTCGGAATATGGTCTTCGGTCTTTATCTGCATATATGTGAGATACAACAGAACAAAGTTTGGGCAGTCAGGGACAGATGATAAAAATGATCAGAGATATACGAGGGAAGATGAGAAAGGCTAGGTCTGTTTTGAGTACAGAGGTGTTGCATACTAGAGAACATGATGAAGGTCTCTGGAATAATTAATGGGGATTTTAAAAGGTAAATCATGTGCTTCAGACTAGCCTAGTGATGAGACTGAAGTTCAATGTACTCATCAGTGACTAAAAAGAAATAATTGGTGGGGCGGGGAATGGTGTTTAATTTGGGAAATGGTTGAGCATTGTAGACATACACAGGAATTGGTCACATTGCCACTCCTAAAGGGGTAAATGTAACTTTCAAATGGT